TTTATAAAGAAAAAATGATTGATACTTATAATGAGATTTTTTTCTCAAATAGTTTGTAATAAACNCAAATCAGTACCGTCTGAGTAGACGCCTCTGATAATTATTCTGCCAGTACCGCCACAAAAGACGCTTCTGACATTTATAACTAACTACTGTAATACATGCATATGATTGTAGAAATTTGTACTGTTGCAATACACATTTCTAACGAATAAAAGATTGCGCTTTTTTCTGGAAAATTTTATTCATTTTTAGATAAAATTCTACTATGAGAAAATCAAGATATAAAATAAAAAACATTATAATTTTTAATATTTTTGGGAAAAATTATTACAATATTTAAATATATGTATAAAATACCATAAAGGAAAGTATAGTTTAACTTTTAGATGTTTCTGTTACCGTTCGGAGATTATTTCATTTTAACATTTCTTTATGTACTTTCCTTCGTAGAACCAAATATTATTATTATAATAACACCAGACTTAAGGAAAAATTGATAAATTAAAATAAAAAAAATAAAAAACTTATTTGCATCGCTGTCACTTCAATAATTTACTAATAATGTCATAATTGGATCAAATGCGAGTAATTTTGCATTCGCAAAAGATAAATTACATTAAATTTTATACTATAACATTGGTTTAAAAATCAATTAATAATCTTATTAGAAACATGAAAACTTGTAACTACGAAAAAACATCAATTATTGTATTCTAACTCATCTTTACGAATTATTTTGTATATCTACCTTCTATTTATATTGAAAATAATATACTGATAATCGGAAGTGCATTACAAATTGTCTAATGAAAATAACGAGATGCCCACCTTATTTTTATTCGGACGTGGGACCGACAATGGTTAAATTACATATCTTATTTAGATATTTCACTGTTTGTACATATTTACATATGTATAAACAGTAAAATATGTAAATATGTCATTTTTTATAAAAGGAAATTGGTAATTTACTCCCATTTATCAATATATTCTTTTCTAGAAAAATGGAATGTAGAAACACAAAATAATTTTTAAAAGGAATTAGTTACAATGCAATAAATGATGTATTATTGTAGTTTTAAATTTTCGTGTTTTTCATAAAATTATTAATTTTTTTGCAACCAATGTTATATTAAAAGATTTATTTTGCAAATGCAATATTACTCGCATTAGGCCCAATTAAAAATAATTAATTTCTAAATTATAGAAGTTTATCTGACAGCGATTTCAATGATGCAAATAAGAATTTTATTCACCTTATTTCAATGTATATATTTCAATTTTTCCAAGTAAGGCGTTATTGTTATGATAATTTTCGGTTTCTACAAAGAAGAATACATACATAAGCAAATGTAAAAATAAAACAATACCCCAGTGGTCAGTCACGAAAACGCCTAAAATTTGTACCTTCCTTTTGGGATCGCAATAAAATTCACTTCTAAATGAATATTTGTCCAAAATAACAATAAAATTTCTTCGAAATTATATAATACATAGATTATTAAATATAAAAATGTAATAAAGATTCTTAAACATACACTTCCTTTTACAGTTAGTTTTTCAAATGATTATTGTTCAATTGTTTCAATAATTTGTTAGCGGTCGAAAAAATAGTAAAATATTTGTAATGTTACAGAGATGGTCCTTTAAATTTGAGCAATAATACTTTGCAAAATTAACTATAAAAGGAAGTGTATGTTTAAGAATCTATTTATTTCATATTTATTTATTTATTTATCTATGTATTATATAATTAGGAAGAAATTATGTTTATTTCAGACAATTATTTATTTTGAAGTGATTTTTATTGCGATCCTAATAGGAGGGTACAAGTTTTAAATATTTTTCAAATAATTTCGCAATGAAAAACACTGTTCGAAATATTAATCCAAAATAACATTGTAATGTCAATTTTATTGGTCTATTATTTCTTAGCGATCGTAAAAAATGTTTGTATATATGTATATATTTAGAAATATATTGCGACAAATATGTATATACGTATATA